TTGTTGAGTGCAACAAGAATTGCTGACCTCAAATCTTGGCCTACAAGTATTGATGAAGATGATGGTATTAATGATAACAATTTCATTGCAAAATTGAGTAATGCATCCTGTAGCTTTGTCTTGGTCTGTGGTTCAAATAGCCTTGTTTGCTGTGGTCACTTATACTTTATATGCATTAAACATTTCTGAAGTATACGAAAGTGTTTAAACACTACATTTAAATGTAATATAAGTAAAATGATGTACCAAACTGAAAGGAAATCCAAACTGAATCATTCAAACTGAAAGTAGGCCTACTCACTAAATTGACTACATTCTTTTTTCCAGATTTTGGCATTGAGCAGGTGATTGTGTTGATGGAACATTTCAGAGAAAGGTTGGCTGGTGCAGGCATTCATGTAGATGGTATTGAGCCAGAATGGATAGTGTTAAAGAATTTACTGTATAAAAAGTAGGTTGCATATTTAAGGTTAACACAGCTATATATTATTAAGAGTGCACTCTTACATGTACAGCAGTATCAGTTTTGCTAAGAGTTCATGTTGTATTGCAAATGAAAGAATATAGAATTTGAGAAGCACTAAGTTGGAATTAATTGTATATATTAATTGTACATGTTATTTTAGTTAAATCCATGATTTCACTTTTCAGTCACAAGGTGCATGTCATGTCGTGGGCCACAATCAATGAGCTGTATGGAGAGCGGTGCTCAAATGTATTAGGTTTAGTTGATTTAGTTCTTTCACTGCCTGCTGGTACAGCAGAGTGTGAACGTGGGTTTTCCCAGATGAAGATGATCAAGAATCAATGGAGAAACAAGTTGAAAGCATCATCTATGACTCTGCTAATGTCAATCCAGCTACATTCAAGCACAATTCCAGAATTTGACCCCAAACCAGCAATAACTCAGTGGTGCACTGGGGCAAGAAGAAGGCCAACTTTCATGGAAAGAAGCAAGCCCAAATCTGCTGTTGACCAATTTGAGGAGATAATTGTTGATGTGGAACAGGGTGAAATGGAGGGCACCAGTGTTCAGGTGTCAAGTGAGCAGCCAACAAAATCTGTTGACTCAGACTACGAGTCAGATTTTTCAGACATGGAAGAGAGGGATGATAATGAATACAGTGAATCTGGTGGAGATGATTAAAGGAAATTATTTAGCAAAAATCTCATGAGTAAATGCAGTTTTTTTCAATTAACATTTTGACGAGTTAATTGACATTCATCAATTTTATTCACCAAACTGATATTGTTTTACTTGCAAGCAGCTACTGCTTACCATGCCAATGATTTGACGGTTCAGTTTTGAATTTTAATGCTCCTTTCATGAAAATTTGCAGTGATGTAGATACCTCAGTTAAATTAAAATACTTGTTCTTCAGTACTGAGTGTATTGACTATTGTGCATTTTGTTTCTGTCAAATGGTTTGCTATAATTTTAATTAATAGATGTTTGGTAAGGTGCATCATATTTATTTATTTATTTTTTATATTTTATTTATTTATTTATTTATTTTTGCAATCCATGATGTATGGGTGGGGGAACAACCATAACTGAATATAAAAATAAAATTGATTTTTGGTATCAAGACAGCACTAGTATTATGACTTTTATTTATGAATTTTGAAAGAAAACAACTTTCAAAAATGTCTTGAATTATTAAATATAGTCATACATGCACTGTATTATCATAGTTCTGTCGATTTAATGAGGACAGGCTGGTTTATGGTAGGACAGGTAACTTTCAAGTGTAACCTGTCCTGCTGTCTGGTTGAATCCTAGGAGGAGTTTCCAACCCTGCTATGACATTGTACTTTTTGATATAGCACAACTCATAAACCATATGGAAAACAAAAGAATGATAAGCTCTAGAAAGTGGAATAAACGAGGTCTCTAACATTCAGGGTTCCAGAACTGGAGAGAGTTTTCAGTTTTGGCATCTAATGACTTCTTTGGTCTCCTGTAATGCACCGATTAACCCCAAACTCATGAAGATAAAAGATGACCCAAAGTTTTACACCTGCCCATAATATTATAGGCTAGGTCTGACATGGACATAAAGAGAGAAGGACGTGAAACGCGGAGTAAGATCAAAGGATAATCGGCTTAGCGCGAGCTCTTCGTGAAACCATGTGCGTTCGGATCACGCAACCTCCCATACATATTGCAGTAGTCGATTACTTTTTGTGTCATTTGGGCAGGTAGTTCGCGATAATGTAAGTCAATCTTTCGGGTGGATGAGACAATAAAATTATAGAGATTAAGTATAAGTACAATTTGTTCTGTCAATTTGGAAGCTATGTGAGAATTTTTATATGTTTATTCATGGAGGAATTCAAAATGCCCTATGTGGTAAAGGCAATCTTGTTTGTTGCCGTAAAATGAGCATTCAAAATTGTACAATTGTAGTGTAGTATACTTGTTTTCAGCTATGATCCGATTGGAAAATATTTTTAGTGTCACTTTTCTCTCTATGTGAGAAATTAGCCTGAGTCGCGGCAATAATGAAACCTTCAATCGTGTCTTGAATTAAAATGAAGCAATTCCTCTCCGATTTATTCAACTCGCTGACATCATTTTAGGTCTGGTATTTTTTACATACGGTTTAGATAAAGGTGGCATTTACACTGCTGTGTACTAATTTAAATGAATAAGTTTATGTTACTTGCTTAAGTGAGCCCGAATTATGTAATGATAATTAATATTTCTAACATTCAATATGGGCTCTCGTTGCAATAGGGCACCACCCATGCATTCGTGACCCACAAAAAAACGCACCCGTGGGTCTTTTAATATTCTTTTATCAAAGTTGACATTAACACTGTTCTAAAGTATATATATATTTAAACATTACCGGCTACAGTCTGCTCCAGTGTGAGAATGATAATTATTATCTTTTTAACTTTCAATATGGGCTCTCATTGCAATATGGCACCACACACGTATTTGTTACGCACAAAAACGCACTTGTGGGCCTTTTAATATTCTTTTATCAAAGTTGACATTAACACTGCTCTGAAGTATATATATATTTACACATTACCAGCTACGGTTTGCTCCAGTTTGAGAGTGATAATTAATAGTTTTTCATCTTTAAATTGGAGTCCCTAAACAGCATAGAGACGATTGACAAACACTCTCATTGGTCTTTTAATTCAAGTATAAATGTGGACATGTACACATGCAAACTTCATGATTATATTTACTTGGGTAATGGTCATAAAAGTGGATCTTGATCACATTTGTGATTTAAGTCTCACCTCTGTAATTGGCTTGCTACATTGCATTACCTTGTTATCAGATGCATTTGGATAGCACCTACCTAGCTTTATTAGTCAACATGCTTTTAAACCAGTTATATATCAGTTCAACATATATCAATACAATCTTGGAAATGATAACAAGTATAGACAAAGGCCAGAGCCCATTTTAATTAGGTAACAAGAAAAAGAGACTGAAAACCTGAAACAAATTTCCACTTGTTGACGCAAGTCTATGTGCTAACAACTACAAGATGGAGGCAATGCTGTATCATAGCAACCACGAGGGACTGCGAGAAATTGCGTTATCCATGCAACAGAACAAAAGAATTTCAATGAGGCACAGCGCGCACTACCTTGATAATAAGTTGTTCAGGCTCCCATGGAGCTATCAAAACAGCCTGACCGAATGTTTAATCGAACGCACATAGCTTCAAAGGAAGATGCCGCGTTTCACGTCCTTCTCTCATTATGTCCATGGGTCTGAGTAGTTTCTGAAAATGGGCACATATATATATATAGTCCCGAGTTGATAAAAAGAACCCGTATGTAAGCAGTCGGGGGCCCCGACAGAAGCTGGACAAATTAATAGTGCTTTGAAACGCTAAGTTTGTGCTTGGTAACTTTACGTTGTGCTTGTTAATCTGAAGTGGGGCTCGTTAATATTGGCGTTTGCGCTAGGGAATCTGAGGCTCGTGCTCGGAAACGGCAATAATCGTTCATGAGACCTGGCTTATTGTGGCAGGGCAAAAAAATTTTTTTTTTGTCAATTTTGATGTAATATTACACAATGCTTCAGCAAAGGCTAGAACAGCAAACTAACTAGTCCACCGTCCAAATATGGCAACCAAAGCACAGGCTTCAAACAACTATGCATCCGCGAAAAGTGCGCTGTTTGAAATAAACAAGTTGGTGAAATTGACAAAGCCTGCCGGTGTTTACCGTCTGTTTGTTTTTATTTCATTTGCTCTCTGGTATCTTTCTGAAAATTTATATTAGAAATGTTCTATTGATTTTATGTTGTAAAAAGTAAATCCGTCGGAATTCCTTAGAATAACATTTATTTTACCTTCATTTTCAGGGGATTCCCATTGTATTTATAGTGTTATATGTGGCCCCAATGGGGATTTTTCACCCCTCCCCCACTCTTGATTAATAAAATTCTTCATGGGCCAGATTGAAAATGATATTGCAAAATACATTCAAAATCGTAGGAAGGTTAATTGCAGATAATGCTGCGAGGACATTCTTGTGCAAGGGCGAACTTGGCCAATATATTTTTTTTACTTCGTCTCCCGGTTTTGGAGCGCCTGTTCTAATTTTTGAAAGCGAGGCAATGGAATCAAACAATACGATGCAATATGTAATCTCGTAAAAATTGCTATTTTTAAATAAAGACCATAGCATGGAGTACATTGAAATGCGACTCGTTTATTATTGTGATCTTCAATAATAATTAATATAAAAGATACGATATAAAAGGTTCTTATCGACGGCCTATTTATTAGCTTTATAGATTTTTTAAAGTATTTGGAGATTAAAAACACAAAAGCTGTCATGTTTCAAATCCGAGGCCCCACATATCGTTCGTGTGCTGGCAACCAACTTAAAAGCTTGCCATCTAATCCGCTAATAGATACTGTCTGATTAGATTACTTGTAGGGAACTATACAAACGGGTTGGCCATATTTGACATAGACTAGTTAGTCTGCAATGTTTCTAATCAAGTGTACTCTTACTGTAATGGGATATCCAAAGCAGCCACCTTATTGACATCAATTCTTCTTGGTTCTGGGTGAAACTAGAAGGAAAAGATTGTTCACACCAATGTTTTCTGTTAATTTTAAATAATAATAATTATAGTAAAAAAATTAGTATCTCTAGAAATGACATGTGTACACTCTGTGTCTGTATATAAAAAGTACTGAAAGCTCATAATCATAGTCATACGTTAAAGACATCAAGCAGCATGTCCTTACCTTACACACATAGGCAACTGACATGTCCTGTTTTTTGTCACCTACTTTCAGCCTTTCAGGGTCTACAAAAATCCAAAGATATCGATTTACATTTAATGCAGGTAAACCCAGAAACTTTTGTTTATATATATATATATATATATATATATAGAGAGAGAGAGAGAGAGAGAGAGAGAGAGAGAGAGAATATTCGGGCTCCCATGGGACCCTAAAGTAAATTTTGGCAACCTTGGGGAAAATATCCAAGATGGCCTCAATTCCAATAGATATATACACACTTCCACATGTAACCTCCTTGATCTTGGCTGATACCAATATTTCCAACTGCCAACTATCACTGAAAGAACATTTTTTCTAAAAGGGCTAAAAACAATGGAATTATTTCACTCTTCAGACATTATTTAGAGCAAACCACTAATTTCAAATATTTTGCCGATTTACATCCCATCAGTGAAGTTGCATGCAACATTGTAGGGTACTGAAACATCTAAAAGATGGCTACAAAATCAAAACACCAATAAACATATCACTTTTCATTGTTTTTTTTTTTCTTAAAATATTTTTATACATATTGCATGAAAACTAGATATATATAACTGTCATTTCCAAACAAATCTGTGCCCCATTTAATTGGTGCAAGCCAGTCCCATATGATTAAGACTAAATCAACATCAACGTCAATCTATGTTTTAGCCAATCTTAAAATAAGTAAAACAAACAATTCTACCTGGCTCCCCAGTTTGCTCTGTGTCCTGTGCAGCTGCTAGTTGACTGTATATAGGTATCTGATGCACAGTGATTACATCCTCCTTGAATGGTTCATCTTCAATATTCATAACATCTATAGGAAAAGTATTGCAAAACATATACATGGATTCTGAAAGATTGACCATGGTTGTAAACTGCAAAGCTTAAAACATTTTTGCACTTCAAATTGCACTAAAAATATGACTAAATATTCCAATAGGGGGAGACATGCCACTCTTGATATAATAACAAGGTAGCAAAGCTGTCAAATGTACAAACATAAAGCAGAAATAATGATGCCTAAATAGGTTATTTTATCAATTCTGGTGCAATAAAACAATGTCTAACAGCATAATCACTGCAAATTTTAAACCATGCACTAAAGGAAACATGAAAATAAAGAACATGTTCAGGGCATTTTGCAACTACTTTTTTGCTAAGTAACCAAATCTTGACCAACAGTTTTCTTACAAGTCAACTGATTTCCTGGTATGTAGTTGCTCCAATGCACACTGTCAAAAAATTGTACACTTTGTCATTAACACCATCTTCAAACAAACAGCTGAGTGATGAGTAATCTAGAGGAACACTAGAGGATCAGAGAGGCGATACCACCTCCGGAAATTGTACCACCAGCTGAAATAAGCACATTCATACAGAAAGCCAAAAAGAGGGACACCATTACCAGTATTGTGCTTGACAGGCTCTATAAAATGCAATAAACAAGAGTTTTCAAAATATGCAAAAAGAAGTGAAAAAAACAGCATAACTGCAAAAATTGCCCAATCAAGCTGATTTTCAAATAGACCTGTATTTTCGTAACATTAATCACTCCTGTCATTTTCAAGACAACAGGCCAATTGTTTTTCCTTGAAATGTGTTATCAGTGTTCGAGTCAAAGGTCAATTTCAAGGTAACAGTAAGATTGCCAATATGTGACTTCCTATTCAAGTCCAATAGTAACTAGGAGCATACCTCTACCAGTTTTGGCGATGTAGGGGCCAAAAAATTTGTTAAGTTCAGTTCATGGTTAAAAGTAGGTCAAAGATCAAAATCAAGGTCACAGTTAGATTTCCAGTATGACCTCCTATTCAAGTTCAATAGTAACTATGGGCGTATCTCCACAGTTTTAGAGCTATAAAGGCCAGAAAACTTGCAAAGTATAGTTTGTCATGAAAAGTAGACCAAAGGTCAATTTCAAGGTCACAGTAAGGTTGCCAGTAAATGATTTCCTATTTAATTTCAATAGTAACTATGGGTGTATATCTCTGCCAGTTTTTCGAAATATAAAAGATAGAAAACTTGCAAAGTGCAGTTCATGATAAAAAGTAGGTCAAAGGTCAATTTTAAGGCCACAGATTGCCAGTAAATGACTTACAATTCAAGTTCAAAGTTAAAAGTTCAAAATTGAAAGTTATGGGCCAAACTTCACCAAAATTGTACAAAAAAAAAAGAAAAAACAGAATAAACCTGAAATGTAAATCACCGTGCTGATTTTCAAAAGCAACCTGCTTCTTTATCAAACAAAGCCACAGACTGATTCTTCTGTGAAAATGCACTGGTTGAACTCATACTTCCAAAGATCAAAGGACTCCCTATTACGGTAGTACCCCCTCACTATAATATGATAGCTTAGGTTTGTGAAGTTTCTGAAAATAGGCATAATGAAATATTTTCTGGCAGAAAATTCCCATTTTTAGAAAATTTTGGTTCATTTGACCTTGAAATAAAGATCCAAGGTCAAATTCAAGAGCATAGCAAAATCTCCACATATGACTTTGAAGTTTCAGTCTATAGTAACTTTTCCCATAATTCCTTCAGTTTGGGAGATATTTAGCATTTAATTTTCAAAAATTTTGACAAGGGTGCATTTCACCAAGTGTCATGCCTAGGTCAATGCACCAAATGAGATAAAAAGTTGAGATTATATATAACAGCTGTAGGCCCTACTAGGGACTTTTTAAATTAAGAACAGACTAATATGTTTGGTTCCTTGTCTTAATATACAAGCTCCCCATGGTCCGTCACCACCGGTAGAGCACTTTTCCATACTGTATCAACTTTATTCTCCATGATATATATATATATATATATATAATGGAATAAAATGTTTGGAAGAAATGGGGACCGATGATTTGAACAGAAATGGTGACAGCAACAATATGGACAGACACAATGATCAAAATACATAAAGTCACATGCAGTGTCTGTATATAAAAGAATAATTAAACCTTGTTACTCACTTAATTTGAGATCCCGCTTCATAATGGGATTAAATTCTTCTCCAACTCTCAGAATCTGCTCCTTAAATGTGTATTTTGATCACAAACATTAAACATATTTTGCATCTAACATGAGCACACACACACACACACACACACACACACACACACACACACACACACACGGGATAACAAGTCGAGAGCATCCTACTAACTTGTAAACCATGCTAACAGAAGATCAGTGGAACTGTGTGCAATATTAATAGTGGATTACTGCATTATCATTACATAAGCCTTTTGTAATCATGTTTAATATTTTCCTCTCATGTGATATCACTCTAATGGATGAATTCGAATATTCACTCTCTTCTCCATCAGTATACTTACAACACCTGGAGGTCCATGCAGATTTAATTCAGGTATGTTTTTATCATTCTGCTCCACGTACAATGCTAAGATAGAACAAAATGAATTCTGTTGTGTTAAATCAAATTCATAAGATAATAATTTGAGGACATGCAACTGAAATGGCAAAGGTCATATCACAGATTTTGCAAGTTTCCTATCCAAGCCCCTGTACACAGCTTATAACAGCTCCGTCCAGGAAATGAGCAGAGGTTATCCCTCTCCCGACAGTTCGCCAGCAATACGTACATGATTAAGCCTAATCTTAGACCAATATCCCTAACAACAGTTATGTGTCAAATTTTGAAGTTAATTGTGGTAAAACAGATTATGGGTAGCCTGCAAGCTGAAAGGTCTTGAACTATCTCCAAAAAGTAAAGTGTTTAGATTTGGGTCAACTCTTGCCTAATGACATAAACAAAGAATCATATCTGGTATACCTATCAAACCTCCGATGTTGTTCCAATGACTGTGAGTTATAAACACATTGCCAATCTTCCTTCATTTTGATACTGTTGAAGAAAATAATAAAATACAGAATATTAAAAATCATTGTACATTGTTTCTCCTGGAATTATTGAAACAAAGCAACAAAGCTATCATTTGTACAGACATGAAAGTAAAAAATGGTGCATACAACAGGATATCTTGTCAATTTGATGCAATATACATAATCATAATCAAAATCAACACCAAAAATTAAACATGCAAAAACAGGTAACATGGCTTTTAAAAATAAGTAATGTACCTATCATAAGGCTTTAGGCCCATGAGAGTTCAAATTAAAACATTGAAAACGCCAGAATGAGAAAAATAAAAATTTCACAAAAAATTTGCATAAATTTAAGAAAAAATAATACTGTCAAGCTGGTTTGCTAATTTGAGTTTTATGTTGATCCTAAGAATAATTTTAAGTTAAAAAATGATTTGTAGAACAGTTTTCTTTTCAGAGCATTTGTGGTGGCAGTACAAAAAAATTTGATGCAAAATCGCATAATGCTTAACTGCATAATCACCACCAATTTTTAATTATCTGCTCTATACACTATATATGGATGTACAGAAAATGTATCTATTTTACAGCTTCATGCCCCTGGGAGTTCTCAGTCCCATGCTGAAAATGCCAGCATGTAAAAAATAAACATTTCACAGAGTGATTTTCAACTGATTGTGTTATCTCTGAAGTCACACAGTGACCACAACGATGACAGATGCAGGTGATGGCTATGTACAGACTCATCTGTGTCAGTACATAAAAAATTTACAAAATAGCTTATTTGGAGCTATCCACACACTCACAAGAACACATTGTCTGATCTAAATAAAAACAAAATCATATACTAGTAAATTATATAAATAATTATGAAACAATCATTGAATATGAGATTAGAAGCCTTAATGAAAGTGCTACCATAGCTTTGAATGCTTTAATCACAAGTAAAGGTCTTGATAGGTGACTTAATAGCAGGTTCTTGTCTTAGCATATACAGAAAAGGTTTTTGTTATGTTAAGTAGTACAAACATTCAAACTCCAGAGTGCAGTATTAAAATGTGAGTGTTGTCCTTGGCAAAGTTTCAGCAATGCTTACCCTTTTATGAGGCCAGTACGTTGAAATTCTTCACAACAGTTGAAGAGAAAGCTAAAAGAAATTAGATCAGATATAAATTCACTTATGACAACAGGTTCTTTATTTAAATGGGGAGGCACAACAAATGAATATAGCTGGATGGCAAAAAGTGTGCACGCCCAGGTGTCAAGAAATACCATGCAACCTTCTGGGAAATGGTGATTTGAAAGTTGTCATTATTTCATGGCATGGCCAATAATAAAATATTCAATTTCACAGGCAGGATTCTAAAAGTTATGCCTCTATGCCATACCAACTAGGAATCCCATGCACTGCCAGGAATTGATAAATTTTAAATCATGAGGAATCATGGAATTATGCACGTTTCTATTAGAATTCTTGTCCCTGCTAAGGCTTCACTTCTAAAACGAATGTTCAACATAGAGCAGCTATAGTACTGGACCTAAAACTGGAGTATGAGCATCAACTGTTATTAAAAACAAGAATGGTTTGAAACTTTCAAGCCGATTTCAAGATCTCTCAAAAATTGCAAGAACTGACTGAGAATAACTTAAAAATCAGTATTAAAGAGCTTAAAGAACTTATCAAAATAAAACTAAAAATCCTGGGATTTATCAATTCTTGGCGGTTCATGGGATTCATAGTCGGCATGTGGGTGGAATAGGGACATTACATATGAAGTCAAATCTTTGTCACTAAACCAGCCCTTTACAACGAGGTCCTCAAATTTTCACCCTGAGCTTCAGAGATAACTTGACACTAACCTCTTCACTATAGCCCATCTTCACTGTGTCAAGTTATACCTCTGACGAAAATAGTTTGACCTAGTTTATACAAGCCAATCAAATCCATGTTTCAAAATTTTTCACCAAAGTTTGGTGAAAACGCTGATTGGTTGAAAGGCCAGAATTATGTCCAATGAGAAACTTGTATTTTGTTGCGTCCGCATAACTGTACACAAAAGAAAGCATGGCGTATCCTACGAGTGACTACATAAAAGAATGTGTTAAGTTATCTCTTGATTCTTTGCAAAATATGAGTATATCGGAATTGAAACCAGAGCAGTTTGAGTCCCTGCATCATTATCTACTGAGGGATGATATATTTTGCGTGCTGCCCACAGGTTACGGCAAGTCCCTGATATTCAGCCTTATCTTTGATTGGTCCGGATTTGAACAAAGTGCGCTTTGACTCGTTCGCGTTCATTGGCTAGATCGTTCAATGAGTCATTGAGGGCAGGCTTTAAATTTGATTGGCAGGCAGTGCAGGCAATCGAATGTGGTCAGAGGTAACTTGACATGCTGAAGATAGGCTATAGTGAAGAGGTTAGTGTCAAGTTATCTCTGAAGCTCAGGGTGCAAATTTTCATACACAGCACACATATCAACAATTGTCAATGAAAGTGTTAAAACATTAATTTAGTGCTAAAAATAGGTATGAATGGTCATCCATATCATCACCAAAATCTGCTTTGTGACTGATCCTAAAATTTTCATCACAATGTGCCCATAAATTTTTACATTAAGTTGCAAACAGACAAACTAACAAATAAAGTTGCTCAGAGAGCAAGGACTTCAGGATTACATAGTGCTATCAAATATACATAATATAAAAGATATAAAACATAATACAAATGATGGCCAGACTGCCTAGGCAGCTTTGGTGCTGGCAAAATTAACTGTATTGGACTCTGCTCAAAACATCAGCTATGTGCGAGCAAGTGTCAACAAATGTGAGGTGTGTGTGTGTGTGAAGAGAACGCTTCTTATTTATTAAGTTATATCAACGATATTAATTTCCAAGTAATATAGTTTGCTTTTACATCACCCTATTTTGTTGGGAATGACTGTTCTTTTGTATAGTTGCAACTGGAGCTGATTTTTCCAGTGTGTTGCTCTGAATTGCGCAATTTAGTCACACCGCACAAAACTGACTCAAAAGAAATCCTATTCAGCTAAACCTAAAACAATTCCAAGCTAAGGCCCCGTTCACATGACAAGTCTATTTTCTAAAAATCTATTTTCTATTTGCGTTATCTTATGATCACGGTCTGTGCCCTGAATACCCCGCGGCGTAATTACTGGCAGCGCGAGCCAGTTACTTCCAAAGCTGTAATTAATTCTCGGTTGCGCTGGGAGTGATTACAAGATACCGCGAATAGAAAATAGATTTTTAGAAAATAGACTTCCCATGTGAACGGTCCCTAAGACTCTACACCCAAGCAATTATGGACTTACAACAGTCTGACGTATCTCAGAGACATTTAGATGAAGCTTAAAAACGAGGGTCAATGACCAGAACACCCACCCTGACATGTGGGAGGATCTGTGCCCCCCCCACACACACACACACACACACACAAACACTGAAAAGACCAACTATAATTACCCTAATTAAGCAAGGCGAGTGAAGTGAATATAGCAAAATAGTGGTACCTCGTACGTGAACAATTAATAATGACGCAATTCCCACATCCCTTGATTCCACCTGTTACCACACGGATACTAATGTTGTTATCCTCACATTTGAGTCGTTGACCCTGTTGGTGATGCATTTTACTAGTGAAATATCGGGGTATGTGGGGTAATTGATCCATGNCCCCCCCCCCCCCCCCCACACACACACACACAAACACTGAAAAGACCAACTATAATTACCCTAATTAAGCAAGGCGAGTGAAGTGAATATAGCAAAATAGTGGTACCTCGTACGTGAACAATTAATAATGACGCAATTCCCACATCCCTTGATTCCACCTGTTACCACACGGATACTAATGTTGTTATCCTCACATTTGAGTCGTTGACCCTGTTGGTGATGCATTTTACTAGTGAAATATCGGGGTATGTGGGGTAATTGATCCATGGATAGTAAGACCTTTCTCCCACAAAAGTTTCGAAATGCCAGCTTTTCAAAAGCTGTAAGTTGTTTAAAAAAAACTCTGAAAAACATTTTAGTTATTGCTAGTTTGTGAAACTCTAAGTTACATCTAGCCGAAATACGTAGAAAGACCAAGCACATGTGTTGAAGTACATTCTAATCTCTAAACAGGTAAGAGTCAAGAAGATATGGCATTTGCAGAAACACTTGAAGATATGTGGTGTTGAGTTCAAAGTTGTTTAATATTCCAGGAATAAGGATATGAAATGAATCAGTCAGAAGTTATGTTTATCTAGACATTTCTTCATAATTTCGCTGGGAAAACGTTGCAAAATTATAGCATAAATAATCTAACATGAACGAAATCTCGCTAAATCGCGTTGCTGACGTCAGAGGGATTTCCCGATGTATTTCCATTGATGAGTCATTCCAAAGAAATGAGCGTCAGTACTCAATAACGTTGCCGGTAGTACTCACAGTCACGGCGACCTGTTTCACGAGGATTCCGGGCATTTCAGTGACAGAAATTGGATTAAATTGGATCATTATTGGCCACAGTAAAGAGCAAGAAACCTGTCTTCTTCCCCTGTTGTCCATTTCAAGATGGCGGAAGGGGAATCCTCTGAAATGGGGAGTCAAGGTGGGTGAAAGAAAGAACAAGAAGCAGACAATGTGACTCATGTTGTTAGTGTCATATGCCTACAGTAGTGACTCATTAAAGATAACATGCCATTGATCTCTTTTTTTAGCAACATGCCCCGCGTATTTGAACTGATGCATTTAACAAGAATATTTTATTTCTCCATTATATATTTCCCCAGGTTATTTTGATAAGCAACCAGTCATCTTGTCTGTTGGTTTGATGATGTATATGATCAGCGTTCTTATAAAATGTGTTACTCATTGATTACATAATAGCATTAGATCACTAGAAGTTTGCTTTTCGTCTTTTTCCTCACTTTATATTTTCAATTCCTTGCCTCAGAAATTGGGTGAATAAGTCTTTTGTAACTCTTTGCACTGTTACTTTTTTAGCAACAGTTTATCAATATATAGTGTGTGCATTTATGAGTTAATTTTACTACAATAAGCAAGGGCAAGGAGTTCTTATATTGTAATATTGCAGATTGGTACACTAAGCACTGGAACTTGTAGACATGTACATTATTTTTCTCATTGTGACATTCTGTTATCTAGATATGACAGTGATACTATCAATACCTGTATTATTCATGCATGATTTTTATTTTCAAAACTACGTATGTCTAACAATTTTTGTTACCTTTCATGTTTAATAGTAAACCATGTTTTGTTAGCAGCTGCACGAAGGCGGGCCTTGAAGCTGGACTTCAAACGTATCGCTTATGATCCTAAACCATCTCCTCCATTACCACCACCAGAAACTCTTGCAAGTAAGGGACACCCTACACAAATGTAAGTTTGCTCTATGTTTTATCACTTTGCATTTTCATGTATATAGATGTTATCCAAGAAAATGTATTTATAGGTGTTGCTCACCTGTCAAATTGCTTTTGTAGATGTCTGGAAAGACGGGAGGATTTGGGTCCAAGTTTAAATAATTAACTTAGTTCTTGCATCCCTTCATTTATATGTTGACTAATGACACCAAAGTGACAGGTGAAACTGAGGTGAGAAAAAGAGAGTACTGTGATTTTTTTACCATAGATCTAAATTTTAAACATTGTCACATGTTCATATCTGAAAGCAAACCAATATTGGCTCTATAAAACTAGGTTGAGCTGGAGCATTAGTTAAAGCGTGTCTTACCAGAATGTGCAGAAATAAATCATGTCCGAATAATCCCATTACAAATGGAGGTAATGATCTAAAGCTTAACTGGTCTTTGGGGTGAATTGTAATTTAAAAAGTTTAATACTTCAAAAACGAGTCTGCAATAAGAACCTTGCCTGCCCAAAATAAAGAAGACATCGTACACAGGTGTTCCCCTGGTCTTAGCCAATCAGAGTCCCAAACCGAATAAGAGCACTTGTGCAAGAAGACAGAAATATGACAGAGGAATTTGAAGTAAGTCCCTTACAAATACATATATTACAGCGCTTTCCCTTCATTATTCATAAATAAACTTGTACACATTAACATTGGAAGAATTTGTTTACTTTCTGGTCTTTTAAGAAAATATTAATTGAAATTATTTACAACAGAGTGCATCCACATTGCTTGATACTGTATTTTATCATGCTGAAGTAAATAACCAAAGGAGTGTTTTGGTAGAGGAAACACAGTATCAATGAAATTAGGAATTAGCCCATTCTGTTTGGAGATATATATATATATATATATATATATATATATACTTTTCAGTGAAAAAATTGAGAACTCTTGTTTACTGCATTTTGTAGAGCTTGTCAAGCACAACACTAGAGGTGGTGTCCCTTATTCTTTTGTTTTCCCGTGAATGCACTTGCTCCAGTTGATGGTACAATACCGGGAGGCGGTATTGCCTCTCTGATCCTCTAGTTTTGAATCTGATGATGATGATGATGAGTGAAGCAGTCAGAGCAGTCCAGAACTCAATGAGCTTTCCAGGTAAAGAGCTTCCTGTTATTGTTAATAACAATGTCATGTTGAAACTTTCCACTGGTAGCCAACAACAATCTGACACATTGCTTATAATGTGTAGGGCCTGTCTAATCTGCACCTCCCTAATTGATATATGAGCCAAAAGATCATGGAAATCTTGATAAAATTTAGAATTTACTTTTCTGTCAAAATTGATCCTTATAGTTAAGAATCTGAATTTTTCATTTCTACTTGTTTCTGGCTTGAAAAAGTGTCTATTTGTACCAGAAGCATGTAAAATCCAAGATGGCCACCACTGTATTCATTTATCATATGTAAAAACAAAAACTTAACAATTCGTACAAACACACACACACACACACATTTATGTCTTAGACTTAATTTCTTTTTACTCTTTGTGAGCATTCACAACCAGTTGATCTGCAGACTAACTAGTCTGCAGATCAAAACTGACCAACCCACATCAGAGCTTGTCACATAGCCCCCCTATAGACAATACATTACTTTTTCAAGTGGGTCAGCCATATTTGATCTGCAGACTGGTTAGTCTGCAGATCAACTGGTTATAAATGCTCTCTTTTGCTGCATTCACAACAGTGGACTAACTAGTCCACAGATCCAACATGGCTGACGCACTGTGATCCGTGGACTAGTTAGTCTGCTGTGCTAAAGGTGACCTTTGACTTATGGTAGGCAAGTTATTACATCAATGTCAATTCTTTTCTTTTTCCTTTTTTTTTTCACAGCAGTACTAGCACTGCCTGGTGTTGCCAGCCACCTTAAACCTAAAGGACCAGTTGGACGATTTAGGGTAGTTGGCTGTATTGCAGGGTCAGGCAGTAGTACTGAGACAGTGGCATGTCCTGGCACTCCTAGGTCCAGTGGTACAAAGCTTTGAAGAGCTGAGAGATCAAGAGGAAGGGGAAGACAATTGACCCAAGTTTATGAAGACAGTTAAATAACTTAGAGAGGCAAGGCACAAAGAACTAGGTATTACGTGTTAAGATCTGCATTTAATACACAAATTGCAAGTTAGTAACACACAATTGTACATAAACATGATACATGTCCCATTTTTTTTTTTTTTTTTTCAAAGTACATTTTTCAACATAAATTGTGTTGTATGTAATCCATTCCTTATTGGTAATTTCACTGTAAATACATTTTACATTTTAAAATATTTTATTTTTGCAGAAAACTGTTGAAGATATTAATCTAGAAATGACAGACATGAGCATTTTTTTATTCAGAGCAAACAAGATGATGCTGACAAGACAGTGCTGAAAAACATATTCTGCCCTTGCACTGGACATAAAGAAGATCCTGCTAGAGTATTTACCTGGCAGTAACCCATCACCAGTCAAGATGGGAGTGAGCCTCCTCTCATTCACCCGCTGTAATGTCCCCAACATTTGGATTGTTGATGAATTAACTACATTTATTCATTCTCAGTGAAGAATATCATAGAATAACTATCACCAGGAGTTGGGTCTGTTCACGGAAAAATAAATGCATTTTTAAATTAACTTAGCTTCCACTATCTATAATGTCTTCACCAGACATGAGTGCACCAAAGGAATCAAAAATTAATTCTGTTTAAAAATTCAAATTATTGAATGTTAAAATAGATAGATATATAGAAATAAAAAGGTTGTGTAATCTGTATTCTGCATTCACTGTTAAAGAATGAAGTGAAGTATACAGACATTTTTCAAAAATCACAAAGCCAAATTTGTACACAAATTTGAACGATACACTATGTTCAAGGTTACAAAGCAGACCAATTTTAGTATTTGTTTCCTTATTTTTGTACAGTATTTTGAATGAGATCTGTCACTTTTGGGTCCCAAGAGGGCGGGGCATTTTTGGAAAAAAAAATTGTACCACAGAAAAATTTTTAATTTAGAATTGTGTTTTTGGCATCGCATTTCTAAGGGAATCTATGCTGGGGAGGAGTATCAGTGCAGAGGAGTATCAGTGTGGGGGAGTATTGGTGCAGTTACCTAATTAGTATTTCCTAAGATTTAATATTTAGATTGCAGGAGTCGAAAACGTAGTTTTATTCAACTCTTATGCATCATACAACCTGGGCATGTCAAATTACTTTCTGAAAATTTGCTAGGCTGTCCACAGGCCATCCCAATGAACCAATCGCCTTTTGAGGCCAGTGGAAAGACTTGTTAATAGGACTGTTAAATACATATTTTTAAGTCCTAGACTAAAAACATTTCCACCACGCTATTTGATATCAAAATTCCACAAAAATCATTAATTGTGTTGTTTGCATGTTTATTTTAAATTGAATATGTTTATTTTATAACTGATAGTCACTCCTCTGTATCAGTTTACATTTCCAACATTCCAAAATGAAATGTATGCCAAACAAATAAAAAATGGCTTCATTGTAAACTATGAAAGATGTTAATCAGCAATAAATTCACATTGTTTCCTCTCTGCATTTCTGTTATCATTTAAAATGTAAACTGGGATACCTCTCTGATGATGGAATGCACAGCCCTGAATGTACAATAGGAGATCAATATCTGATCTATTGGTGTTTGACACACTTAATTGAAAGGGATTAGTCACCAAATGTAATAACCTGGAAACAGTTGTGTCCACTGATCTGGGCTTTGATTAGTCAGCTTCCAATTTTGAATGTTGTGTTTTGATTTTCAGGATATTCCTAAACCACCTGTATTCAGGATCTCACAATAAAATAAGTTACTGGGTGTATAAATTTTCAGTGTGAAAAATTACAAAGCAAAGTTTTATTGGATGACACAGTTATCTTTTGCAGTTTGATGTTTTTTTTTATTATTATTATTTAAAGGAGAATTTCTTGGATGGAAAAATAAGTAAAAAAATATTTTGAGGGGTAGGACTTCCAGACCAGCGGACTGTCATCCTTATACTTAATTTTATCTACAAATATTTCTCTCAGTATGTGAATCATAACAACGTTATATCATAATAAACGTAAATGAATTGCCTATTACTTGAACATAAGTCTCATGTTTGGCCAAACAAAAGTGCATTATCCCAATAGGATGATATTATCAGTGGGATTTCTTTTTCATCATACCCCAACACTCTTTTGCCAATAGTAATTGATACATTTACTTCAATATATGCCTCATTAATAGCCCAATTATGACTCACCTTTACCCATCTTTGCTGTATAAATATGTTACATTGAACTTTAAGCAGTCATTCTTAGGCTTAAATGGCAAAAGGAAATAGTGTTACTGGGATAATTTGCTTTATACTTTGTTGAGAACAAAAGGCCACAATGTCTAGGTCTTTTTTTCATTATATTTAATGGTATGATAAGTAAAAAAAATAATAGCTTGTCCTTAACATTTATAATCTTAGGTATGTATAAAAATAAGTCTTATGTCATCTGTATTTTTCATTTATTTCATTTTTTTATTGTTTAGTGAGAGGTTGCGGTCACAGAGCCTAGAATCATCAGGGAAACTACAGATTTCACCAGAACTGGTAAGATCTTTGTAAATGTGTTGATGTTTACATACAGACACTTAATATACACGTGTTTGATGTTGTGGAAGTGCTGTTTTTGTGTATCATTTCCAACTAAAGCCACTTTGTATGCCCGTTTAAGGAAAAACAACAAGGATTGGTTTCATTATGATATAAGATTCCTTTCAACCACTAGCTACTTATTCACTCTTGAATCAGATTTCCCCCAAAAAAACATCCTGCCTATTTTAATATCACCTGGCCTCAACAACAAGTTTCCACCTAAGCCACAAGGACTACTGCAGCACCACCACAGCGGGAGGATGTAATTTGTGATTGCTCCCAATCACTGCAAGTCTAGTTTTTATTAACTTTGTGATTAATTTTCATAAATTTTGTTTTTAGTTCACCAATTTTACATGTTTTTAAGTTGTGTTTTCTTACACAAATGTTATTCTGTGTAATGTTTATTAATACCATGATATTGGTTGTAGATTTTTGACTTCACGGCAGATGACCTGCAAGACTTGGGTGAGATAGGGAGGGGAGCATTTGGTACAGTCAACAAAATGCTCCATCAACAGAGTAACACTATTATGGCAGTTAAGGTGAGAACTGGTGTTGTGGGGAGGGCAAAAAACTGCCTTTATGCATGATCCAGGCCTTATAAATGAAATGTTGTTTTTGACTTTAGGACAGACGTATTGCAATTGATGAATGAATGGCTTGACCAGTGATTTCATTGTGCAATTGTAAACAAACTTGGTTGAGGATTGCATTATAAACTGTGAACCACAAGCATAAGTCCATTAACCTTGGTGTTTGGAACATTTGGTATGTGCTGGATATAATTGAGAGCATACTACTTTCATATTAATATGCAGTAGGAATAGAAGATTATGGAAATGCAGTATGTAAACAACAGAAGACCCATCCCATTGATTCACAATTTATAATGTTGTGCTTGCAACAACTGTTTTCTTGAAATTGCAGTTTTAAGTTATTAGTTTCAGTAATCACAAATCTGACGGTCCAAGTCTCAACCAGTAGTTATCATCTATGAGGCGTGTGACAGATGTCACCTCGCCACTGGTACCTGTAATTATCAGTGGTTCTGGTTACAAGGGGGTTATTATGCAGCTCAGCGAAATATGATTTTTAAAAGGAAATAAAAAAGTGTGACATTAATAATGATGATGATAATAATGATAGTAACAACTTAACTGAGTAGTGAATATTTCCTTTTTCATGCTTTCTACACTGCAGAAGGATGAAATGCAAAGGTCCACATGGACATTAAATATAATGGTTATAAATGCATAGAAAATATGAAAAATTAATGCACAGCATTCTAAATAATTATCTGTATTGATTTTGTAGAATGAAAATAGCATTTTAGTGCCAAATTGAGATATTATGATTTTTAATGTATTTTTCTGTAAAGGTAGGTGTAATACTGGTCATTTTTGGTTACCAGATTAAATTAAGGTTACTTGTTTATCTTGTTTCTTTCCTGTCTTTCAGAGGATACGCTCTACAGTTGATGAAAAAGAACAGAAACAATTATTAATGGACTTGGATGTCGTAATGCGCAGCAATGAGTGTCCTTATATTGTGCAATTTTATGGTGCTCTCTTCAAAGAAGTAAGTTGATTATGTTATCTAAAAATGCTGGTGATCAGTTTTGATGTTGAAGGTGGCAAATTATTGGTTAAACATAATCCTTGAGAATAGATATGGATCATATTTCTATACTGTCTCCTCTCCTTTGTTTGTTCATTTGAAACACTTTTTCCAAACCCTTAAATGCTCCATATCAGAAAAATGATTCAAATAAAACTTGTTAATCAGCTCATTCCTAAATATTAGCGGTTCTCACTGAAGTGCATAATCATCTTACACCAATATGAGCCTTTCTCTGTTCTCAATAATTTCAGTTTTATTTTGCAACTAATGCAGTTTAAACAGGACAAATTTAAATCGTGTTAATTAATCGCTAGATTTGTTTCATTTATACACTAAAAAATTGCCTTGAGTTTACAAAATTGTGAAATGGGAAAAATAATATATGCAATTGTCTAGAAACAAAGTTTCTGTTGTACCTACATAACTCTAGAAGTCAAACTTAGTCCCGAATTAAAATAAGATTACACCTTCAGCAAAAAGCATTAAAAATTTTCGTAAACTATATGAGAAGATAAACTGGCATGTGGGGTTATCAAGGATGATAACCATGAACAGAAATATTCTGATAATGGTTTAAGATTTTAAAATACTGGATAAATACTATTATTGTTTCATTGCAGGGTGATTGCTGGATATGCATGGAGTTAATGGCAGTCTCATTAGATAAATTTTACCGTTTTATCTTTGGTTCATATGGAACATTACACTTACACCCAAGGATAGAAGAAGATATATTAGGAAAAATAACAGTAGCTGTAAGTATAATGGGTTGAGTGGACACATTGGATTTCTATATAACATCAATTAGAAAAATAGAAATGGTACAGCTTTCAAGTATTGTAACAGTGTCTTATCCCCACACTGTTGGGACAAAAGTCTAGCAGGTTAAGTTCATCTGGTGTAGACAGCATATTGCATACCATATGTATTGATTGTGTTTGTGTTTATTTCAGACTGTGAAGGCACTGAATTACTTAAAAGAAAAATTAAAGATCATTCACAGAGGTATGCTGCACTTCAAGAGTTCATTTTGCAATTATTCTGTAACAGATGAAATTGCTATTTAAATGGTTATTCTTCTATATGCACACATAATTAATTTACAAAATTATAAAAAGTTATTTAGAATCATTTATATAGCTTTTCATACTTGTTGAAATCCAAGTGAAGAAAATGCTTAGTTTTAACAAAGAATTATATTTTTACCCCAATCATCACATTTTGTTGATATATGTCATTAACATATTCTTGTTATTATGTCTTTTCAGATGTGAAACCCTCCAACATTCTTCTTGATCGGCAGGGCAACATTAAGCTTTGTGATTTTGGCATCAGTGGACAGTTGGTAGATTCCATAGCAAAGACAAGGGATGCAGGGTGTAGACCTTACATGGCAGTTAGTAAATTTTCCAATTTTGTGTATTATTAAAGTCACGAAAAGTCAAATAGAATCTGCTCATTGTTTTTAGTCTTTAGGGAGAATATTTTTCCTCTAAAATAGATAATATCAGATGATACTCTAACTTCACAAGATTTGGATTTTAAAACTGACAGTTGTTTTCAGTGATTTGCTTTTTTCAAGAACGCCGTTAGTAAGTACTTTACCTAACATTGCTTCACAGAGGTATATACCTTTCTTTTATAACAGCCAGAGAGAATAGACCCCCGGCACTCCTCCAGGGGATATGATGTGAGGTCTGATGTGTGGAGTTTAGGAATCACACTGGTGAGTGCTATTTGAAACCTAACAATGATGCTTAAAAATAACTATTACATCTAGGTTCATGTATGTCCAGGTTTTCTCCTGGAACCAGATACTTTTATACAACTTCCTTTTGAGGTGTGTATGTGTGATGGGAGATGGGTTATAGACTGAGAAGTACCTTGTGATTAATCTGACCGTAGGCAGTCATAGGTCTGCTCAAAGTAAATTTTGTCCATATATTCATCAAGAATTACATCATAACCAATGTACAACAGCAGTGTGCTGTATCATTTTGTTTTCAGTATGAATTGGCTACTGGGAAGTTTCCATATCCTAAGTGGAACAGTGTGTTTGATCAGCTAGCTCAGGTTGTGCAAGGGGCAGCCCCCCAGCTGGACCCAGCAGACGAAATATACTCGCCACAGTTTGTAAAATTTGTCAATACTTGGTAAGTTTTCGATAATAAAATTACATTTTTCAATGAAGACGTATTTCCAAGTAAAATGCAGGTTGAAAGCAGATTGTTTTCATCCCTTTTTGAAATTAATGAAGAATTCTATTAATTTATATGAATACATAGCTCTTTACATTTATTTTCATTTAAGTCACAGAACAGAAGTTTTTAAAACATTACTTTGTAACATTAGATATGACTGTTATATTCAAAACAGTACATTTATTTAGTGTTAGTTTAAAATGATATGGTTTGCACACTGTAAACACATTGTCCCTTTGTTTCCAGTTTAACAAAAGATGAGAAACAAAGGCCAAAATATAATAAATTGCTAGTAAGTACAAAATATCAGTTAGATTGATACAAGCACAGAATTCTGTGGTGCATTTTCCTAATTCTTTTCAATTTGATGAAATATAAGTGTAATTTTAAGCAAGCTTCATAGAATGCAGAGATTCGCTGCTTACTATTACCATGTTGTATTGTATGTACAAATTGTATCAGTAGAAATTGGTTATATTGGTTGAAAATTGATCTCTGCAAATTATGATGCTAGGCTCAGTCTAGGAAATATCTTTTAACCAAACAGCTTGATAAGTTATTTATTTTCATAGCTAATAAATAAAAATAGTAGATTATTGAGTAATTTCTCAGCCAAATTAGAATATCTTAAGCATTTGATTAAGTTACAGTTACCTGGTTACACTATTGATTTCACTTTACCTCAGCAAATATGTAGTTTGATTTGACTGTGTCACAGAAGATTTTTATCCTCAAATTAAGAAAAATTTCTACATAGTTTTAGTGTACATAGTTTTAAATACACATTAAACTTTTTACAATAATTAACCAATGTAAAGATATAAGAACCATGAATTTTGTTTTCTAGAGAAGATATATATATATATATAAATACTATCGATCGATCGATACGATCATCATCATCAGTTTTGTTTTCTAGAGAAGATACTTGCATATAAAAACCTTTCATTCTCTTCCAGAGTGATGAATTTATAGTGCGATCAGAAAGGGTGGAGGTGGATGTAGCCAAGTATGTTTGTGAACTGCTGGAATTGATGCCAGAGAGGCCTTTAGAACAAGATCAGTCCTCGAGCTCATAATACTACACTGAAAGTCATTTTCATGTGGTGTGGCAGTTGGAAAAGGGTTGAATTCAGCATTGAAAACACATCAATAAGTACACCAGTACTATACAAATGCACTCTCACTTTTGTTTTGCAATGAAAGATATATTTAATCAGAAAATGAAAATATTCAAAATTCATTACTCAATACAAATGAATAAATTTCTTGGTTTGAAATACCTTTAAAAATTGGCAAATCAAAGTTCACAGCTTAATAACCTGCTGCAGTGAGTTCAGTATACAGTAACAAAAATCACTGGTATATTGCATGTTATAAATACACCAAGGTCCCAAAATATTTTGTTACTGATACAGCTTGAAAACTGCCTGTTTGGAAAATGCTGAATATGACACAGCACATTGAAAAAGAAATTCTAATCATCCCAAAGGTAACATTATTTGAATTAAGATTTTTTTCTTATTCATTTTAAAAATTGGATAACAAGATGATTAAGACCCACATGATCAATGGCAGTATGAGAACAATAATTGTTAAAAGTGAACTTGATCGCCTTCTTATAATCAGGGTGTGAAATATTGTACGTCATTAACTGATATGCAATTAATAAGCAAGACACATTTTAAATTCAGATGACATATTTGACTTGCTTCAGTTATAAGTTTTATAAAGTAATATATGAATTTGGGTGGAAATTACTGTCTGAATATAAAAGAAGATAAAAAGAAGTCTTGTGGACCCCCAATCCCATGCAAATTCGGGTACTGTTACTGTGGCACATTACACTAAACACTGGTCCATTGTATCAGTTTTGCAATGAAGCAATAGCTTGGACCTCTACCTCAATCAAAAGTAGCATAATAGATGCTGTTTGAAGTTCATTATGTGGCATTGTAATGTAACCTAGTTGCTTTCTTAGTCAAAGTCTTTTATGAGGTAGACCACTTTTCATGCCATATTTATTTATTTATTATTTATTTAGTTGTTTATTTATTTATTGTTAAGATATTCTTCATAAGGGGACTACCACAAGTTAATGCATATTTCTTTTATGTATGTAATATGGGTAATTAACAAATTATTGATTATTTCTAATCTGTTTTATTGACTTACCCATATCAGCTTAAGGTCTTCCAATTGCAGGACCGTGGTAATGAACTTGGGTGGGGAAATGATGCACCTATTATTATGGGATATAAACTTCCAGTGGTTACAGATGTAGTCAGTGTTAAAATGTTCACATTTGAAACAGCCAAAGGCATCTGAAATGCCCACTTTCTGTGCCACTTGTATCTTAGAGGAAAAAATGTACATCTGCTAAAAAAAGTGCACATCTCCTAAATCATAAATTAAAATAACCTGTTAAACAAACATAGTGGCATGCTTGCTATTGTATTCAAATATAGGTTTTTTATGAAAAGCGGAAAACATTACCTTAAACTTGAATAGATAATCATAAAATAGTCTTTCTAGTATATCTATTTATGTTATTTATCTTTTTTTTTAATCTTAAAAAGTTATGCTAATGTGAGCCTAGTTTGTCATATGGAATATGCAAAGTGCAAATTCAGTAGCCTAGAAATACATTTATGCCTGTGGTTTGAAAACGATGCATTTGTTACTATGGGATGTATTATTTCTTTGCCATTGTACATTATGTACAGATTATAGGGATAATGAAATTGGAACTGTTGTATAAATAAGGGCTGTAAATACTATATACACAAACGCATTATTCATATATATCAAGTCAGAATCATATTGTACCCAGCAGACATTTGGCCTGTGCAGAAACAAGTGTTTTGTTTATTAGGATATGTGGAGAGTAGGTTAGTAAACTATATCTAACTCTACATAGAAGTTACATCATGCCGGTGTAAAGCAGATATTTGACTTCTAGTAAATAAGGAGTTGATAGACACCCTGGAAGCATCTTTTTGATGATATTTCTCTCTCTCTCTCTCTTTCTCTCTCTCTCTCAGCAGTTAAGGTTGTTAATATGGAACCTATGTATTTTTGAAAGGTCATTGCGCAACAGAAAACTCAATGGTAAAGAAACAGTATGTAACAGTGAAGGATTACAAAAACCACAATGTATTAATATTGTAAAATTTAAGTAGCCATTGGTTTCCGCAGTTTCTATTCAACTCGAGGTTTAATGAGTTAAAGCTCTTTAAGTGGCCATAATGTTTTCCTTAGTTGCAGTATTGTGCTGTATAAGCAGTATGATTCATGTAATAAGGATATGCAAGGGGTTGTGGCACATGAACAGTACAACTAAATATGATATGTCAGATATGAAGACAATTAGGTAACAATTTTATATTGTAAACTGATTGAGAAAAAATAAAATCTGTGATACTTCAAAGATGTTTCTTTGATATTTCTTAAGGTCTACAGATTAGTTTACTTTGAGTGTAAATTGTGATGAGCTCCTTTGTGGAATGTGATATTTTATTTCGAAGTGTCTAAGCATTGCCCACTTTGATATTTAGACTTCTGTGACAGAATTTTGTTCTCATAGTATTATCAAAAGTTACTAGTGCCATTTCTAGACATTACTCTTAACTTCTTCAAACTCAAGTTCTTGTCAGTATACTTTTAAATATCTTAAATGATATACTGTTCCTTTTTGAAAAATTACCTAAAGTCATATTTTCTGCCTATATGTCTTGCAAAGGTACTAATCTTTAGCAGTTCAGACCAAAAGCAAAAAAACACTATAAAACCCCTCAAGTACACTTGTATAGGAAGGCGTGGAGTTTTAACAGGCTGGTCAGTCATTTAGATCATTAATTAAATGTTTTTTTAATGGAATCCAAGTGTGAGAAGGGTTGAGCTTTGATTTGATTTGATTCCCCCAAACATTGTCCTTAAACTACCTTGTTCTATGCAAGTACTATTATTAGTAACATAGGTACTTACCGAAAGAAAAAAAATAATCGTGTTCCGGTACCGGGAATCGAACCCGGGCCGCCTGGGTGAAAACCAGGAATCCTAACCACTAGACCATACCGGACAACTTGTCGTCGAAGGCAAATTAACCAGATTTTTTCATAGAAATAAACGAAATGTGAAACGGTAAAATAGACATTCTTTTATTTTATCAGAAAATTAAAACACAATGAATACAATAGCATATGTAGTTGCCTGCAAACCCAAGTATAGACACAAGCACAATTCACCCAAACCCAATATAGAGGCATTTCACAAGTTGAAGTCTCAAGAAAAATTGAATATATTCAAATTTGTATTCGATTTTTTAAAATGTGAACAAACATTCATGGCTGTCTTAATTTTACGTCTACATGTAATTTTAACGTGGTCTACATCATTATGCAAGAAGCCAAATGGTAACGTATGTTGCAGTAACGTAGCCGGTATGTTCCGAGAGATATAATTTTTTTTTTTATATCGTGTTCGAATATGCGTTTTATAAAGTCAATCAAGGTTGGGCTAAATTTTAGTTGATGTGAGAATGCCTATATAAATATTTGAACTGTAACTCAGGGGGCTTTGCATACCCATAAAATTTATCGCTCTATACAGAAGAATGTCATTTTTACAACGTTATACTTGTAAAAAATAAACCAGTGAATATCAAATATTCAAAGTTAGTTAAACGCTAAAGCAGCTAAGAAATCTCCATCTGTGACAGTAATGTCTATGTTCCTTTTTGGGTTAAGACGTTGAATAATTTTCTCACTTTGGTTTTAGGACAGTGAAACTGCAGGCGCGTAGTCACCATTTGCAAAAGGGGGTTCTTATTCTGGGAATGTGGACCTTAAAGCTATCAAATATAGTTTCTAAACTGTGCACAAGAGCGTGCCTGTGACATCGTTTTGCACCTCTACATTGAGTTTTGATTTCATTGCCCCTCACATAAATCCTCTGCTCTTTTACCAGCTAGCACGAAATTTTGTGCTATTGTAGAGCCAGCAGCAGTACTAGTTTCACTATTCTGAAAACCGTATACAGTCTGAGTGTCACTCATTGTAGACCACCCGCTGTTTAGGATTTTAATGCAGCATATACGTAATTGGACCGAAATAATGGAATAAAATATTAAAGTAAGAATTTCAGTGAGTTAGTCCGATACAATATCCGACGAGCGGCAACGCCAAAAAGTGCATGTTTAGTTATGGGGTCTATACATACATGTATGATGGGTCCAAGTATAGATCCAACATGACATGCCGAATCCAGGTTGGATCATACTGTAGATTGGTTAAGCCCTCATATTTTTATATCATTTCATTCTGCATGGCGATCTAGATTTGATTACGCAGTGTTCAGTCGT